ATAATTATACATATAGAATAAAATATATCATATTTGAAAAAATAAATAAAACATACTATTTAATAATATGAATGTATATTTTTATGCTTAGAATATAAGATTTGACCCCTGTTTAACTTGTAGTAATTTGTTAAAGGGTCACTCTCAATCAAAAATCTATTAATTGGAATAATTAGTTAGGGGGCGGCATTTGGGTGCCCGACTGCCGGCTAATGACTGACTAATTTTATTATATATTTATTTCAGTGGATAAAATAGATAGATAAAGCTTTATATCTACGTGTTTCAGTCTAGAATTATATTGAAAAAAATGGCAAAAAAGGAAAAACAGTATTATAATTTGTAAATTGGTATTTAACACAATATGAATTTGTCTGTTTGACGATAATAATCACTATATATTTTGTTTGTGTAAATAAAAATATGTTTATGACTCGGAGGTGAATTTTTACATTTCCAACATGGGGGAGACAAATATTTTAATAGAGATGTTTTTGTGGAAATTGAATCTGAATAAGAAAAATCAATAAATGTGGAATTTCAATCTTATTATTCACCAAAAAAATCCTTGTTACTTGGATGAATAACTTAATTTGATAATATATAAAAATTATTAGTTAAAATATTTTTTTAAAAAAAAAAATCAACCTCTACAATTAATCAATAATTTTGTGTCTTTTAAAATTAATTAACCATGGAATATGTAATATTTTAAATGAGATAAATAATTTATTGAAATATCAATGCAACAAAAGTTGTGCACACAATACTCTTGTTTTATTCATTCTCACACCGATAAAATTAAAATATTTATTTTCAAATACTCTTGTTTTATTCATTCTATAAAATTTAACACTTACAAAAATTAAAATATTTTCAAAGTATGAACTCATCCAAAGTTATAATTGGATTGATTTTAAAAATTTTGTGACTACTTTGAAAATAAATCTATATAATTATGGTATATTTTTAATTTTCTCCCAAATATATATCCTTGTTATGTACTATCATTTCAAATATTTTCCATCAATCTCCTCCACACGTCCATAATCCCCCAAAAATCAATATCAAGTGTCAATTTTTCTTCTAAAAGATAATAAAAGGTCTTAGACTAAACAATACAATATGTTTTTTTTTTTTTTTTNATTTCCAGAATTATAATTCAGAAAAAATATGGAAATAATTTTTTTTAAATACTTTTATGATAATTTAAAAATAAAAATGTGGACTTGGTGGTGAAAGTGGTCTTCAGCTGCTGATATATAGTGACAACACGAATGGTCCAGCAGCAAGTCCTTTTCAGTCTAGCTAGCTTTGTTCCCACCTACTTAGAATTTGCATGTGAACCTTTTTCAACCTAAAAAATAATAATAAATGATTAATTAATTAGTTTCCACCTTAATCTTTTTTATATCATGATTATGCAGATTTTTTTAACAGAAATCAAGATTTAAGGAGAGACTTTGGCTTGATTTGATGCTAGCTAAATTATTATAGGATGAATCACACCTACATATATAGGCTAAATTACTAGTTTCTTAAAAGTAAACTGTTCAATTTAAAATAATATTTAAAGATGTACAAAAGATATGAGACTCTATATAGGAAATTAAAATAACAAAAAATGTAAAATTAATTATACAAGCTGAGATATGAATTTACAAAATAAAGTAAAGCAAGAATCCTAGAGAATCCTAAAAACGAGTAATAATGAATCATAAAAAAAAAACCCTGAAATTAACGAGTAATAATGAATCATAAAAAACCTTATATTTTGAAAAAGAATGGCTAAAAACTAGCTAGAAGCTAGAATTGAACGTTTGAAACTAGAGTTCTAAACACGAGAAAATGTTGAAATGTTGATCACAATTCGATTAAATATAATCTGTTGCATTATATTGAACATAACTTACTATCTTAGAAACGGATAAAATATTAGTAATTTATCTTATGAGAATATGCAGTTCGATTTTTATTTTTTTTATTTTTTTTTTCAATTTAAGCCGTTTTTAAAAACTGAGTGAGCACACTAGCTACAGATTACTTTAATAGTTAATTGCAAGGTAACTCTAGCTAACTCTTTTTCCCTAGAAAAGAATAAAATAAAAAAACAAGTAAAAAAACTTTTATCTTATAAAGTTTATACAAGAGACAAAAGGACAATTCATCGTTTATTTTAAAGTCAAGATTTTGGTTTTCATTAACATGTGAAAAATCAATAGTTATATAAATAAGTCAGTTACTATTATTATTATTGTACCTCATAATAATTGGAGGATGAGAAAGAGATTATAAATATAAAAAGACTTCTTCGAGAAAATGTATGTGTATGCATTTCTTTCAAGTATTCAAGTAATGAAGTAANAAATAACAAAAAAAAAAAAAAAAATGTTGTTTCATGATTTAATTTTCAATATTTGTTTGTTTCATAATTTGTTTGTTTCATATATCATAATGTCATGAAAATGTAACAACAATATGTTTTATATTCACAACCTTTCCCATAATATGAACATGAATGTGTATTATATATTATGAATTATACGTGTTAAACGAAACGAATCGCTTGTGTGAGACTTAAAAGATATGAAATAATTTCTCAAACTTTTATTATAAGTTGACTCGATTAAAGAGCCGAATTCGAGCTTTATCAACATGTTATCGAGTATCAAGAGGACAATTTTTTTTTTATAACTCTTGGTTTAATATATTATAATACAGTATATAATATAATATAAATAAAGGTGTTCCAGACCTGCTATGCCCACCACCCAAATTGCAGAAAACTCCATCTATTTTTTTTATTTATTTATTAACTATATTTTCCTTTGAGAAAATGAGTTGCAGTCTTGCAGACATGGGGAATAAATTAAAATAATAAAATTTATAAATGAAAAAGAATCAATCCCCTATTTTTTTCATGTGTGTAGTGTAGTAACATGAAATCAAAAATCATGTCAAGAAAAAGGGTCAGCTTTATGGGCCATTTCTTGGGATTGAGGCTTCCACTTGCACACACACATACATATATATATATCTGGAGTCAAATAGCATCTTTGCTTTCTGTTTTGCAAGTAAATAGCAAAGTCTAACCATGTTTTGTTCTTACACATTTCAAGAATTATTATTTTTTATTTTTTGGGTTGATGTAAAGAATCCTATGCTTTTTGGTACCNAATGGTATGTAATTAAGTATACCTCTCTAGCTAGCCAATCTCTTTTTCCTTTTGGTATGTAATGTAATTAAGTATATACCTCTTTAGCTAGCCAATCTCTTTTTCCGAAAGCAATATGTTGATATGTAGGTGCATGCCCTATCAACTTTATATAGGGACATTCTTTAGGCTTCTTAATACTTGGTACTTTATTAGATGTTTGCCAATTTAAATGCAAGGTTTAATTTTGTATATGCTAATTAATTATCACCAAATCTTTTCATTTAGATCCCCCAAGATTAGGCCTTCATGTACACTATTAGTTAATTTTGATTTCTATATCTTTTGTGGTGTCATTTGTATCATTTGAATTGTTAAATAAAATGAGTCAGTTGGTGAATTTAGGTATCAAATGAATCAAGTTTGAGCTTGTTTGAAGTTCTTTTAATTATTGAGCGCTTAAAAAAAATATGACAATATATGCAGAATCTCAAACAATAATTATTTTTAGTTTTGTTTTCTATTTTCTTTCACTAGTATATCACACGTTGATTGTGTTGCTATATCCAACCTTATATATATTTTTTTTGTCATGTTGTGTTTGTGTTTGGATGTTTGTCGTCCGGCATCCTATATATATTTTTTTTCACTTATACATTTTGGTATTTGATCTTAGTACATTGCATTTTTTTCGTGTAATCCCATCAACAAAACAAAACATTATGTGTAGAGTTGTTAAATGAAACGAGTTGCTCGTGAGTTCGGGTTTTTAAGACTCGGATTCAGTTCGGCTAGTTTAGTAAGCTAGTCGAATAAACTAGCCGAACTAAAGCTCGCTCTTTAATTATTCGGAACTAACTTCCACTCATTTTGATTAGAAAATAGTACAATTTTTTACGTATTTTTTGAACTCTTATCATGGTTGGATTCATTAAATGAAAGTAACATAATGTGACAACATTCCCTGCAACACTAATTTATTTCTTCCTAGAAGTGTCTTATTTGTAGATGCATCTCAAAGGACAAACCTTTTTTTTTTTCTTTTTTTTTTTCTTTTTCAGACTGAAAATCATCATGTTACAGAATTGCATGCTTATTTATTAGCTTGTGCATATATATACATATATATTGAGCTTGTCACCATCCAATAATTATGGTTTCATTCCTATCCTTTCAAAACAATATATATTTATCATATATATAACTTCAACAATACGAGCAATCAATTTAGGAATAAGTGCAAGAGAAGACAAAGATCCGTTTTGTGAATGGTCCAAAGCATTGAATTTTGCTGCAAAATTCAAGATACAAACACGCATATATATATTTTGGGAATATTTTCAAAAATCTAATTATCAGCATTCAATGCATTCTATTTCTAGAAGGTCACACTAATTTCTTGTCAAATCATTTACAAATTCCGAAATTTCAATATCCTAGCTAGCAAGACCAGTGTCTGAATAAACAAATTAATTAATAACCATATAGTTAAAACAAAAAACTACTTTTACCCTTTTTAAATGTTTCTTTGTGTCTTACAAACTACACTGCACATATTGTGGGTTGTTCATCTAAAGATGACAACTTTAGCGGGTATATATATATATTGAGATAATATAAGTTTAGTACTTAGATAATTTTTTAATAGATTAGCTCCAAATATATAGAGAGATAGATAGACATATATTTTTTTATTTAAAATAATTGACTCCAACTTATATTCCCATTTAAATAAGAGTAAGTCTTTTGTTAGACCGTTCCAATAGTATGGCTTTTGATAATATGAATACACATTGAAGTATGTAATATTCAACACAAAGAATTTGTGTTTATTTAATATACAATGGACAATTAAACATCAAAATAAATGAAACGTTGCAATTTTAATTATCAACTATGGCCACATAAAAACAACATATTGCACAACACAAATACTACTCTCAAGTCTAAAAGAAAGTACCATTTCAATAGGGTTTTTTTCCCCAAACTTTTTCATCAAATTCCAAAATAGTTTAGATTAATTCCTCGTTCATTCTAAACAAGATATATATAGCCCCCGAGTCTCATATAAAGTCATAATCAAGAGACAAGAATCCATCCATTTCCTTAAACAAAAAAAAGGAGACAAATATTTAAAAATGCCCATTTTGCCCTTTCTCCCCAACTCCACCACCATTAATCCCATTGTTGTTGTTATCCATCAAACCAGCCATGCTCAATATCTCACTTTCCGAAAGTGCCCTCAATCCCAAGAAATCCCTCGTCGTCATCATCCCTTCTTCTCGGGCCCGCCCGAGCTCTTCCATGGCCGCATCGAAATCGAAGCTCTCCGGGCCCGAAACCGCCGGCCCGCCACGAATGATATTATTATTGCCCGAATGATAAAAAAGCCCATCTGGGCCCGGCCCATTGGGCCCGCAGCTCGTCCTCGGGCCCATTTGGGCGGCCTTCTGCAGAAGGGCCGTGGCGGAGAAATGTGGGGCAGCCGGGCCGCAGGTGGGCCCGGGAAGGCAATTAGGGTTAGGGTTTTGGAGGAGGATTAGGTCGGACGGGCCGCTGCCAGCTGGCGGGTGGTGGTTGTAGTTGAAGGAGGAGAGCCAGTCCGGGCCCGCGGGCCGGATAAGGCCCGAGAAGGTTTGTTGGGCCGCCTCTCTTTTGATGATGGGTGGGAATAATGATGGGTCGATGTTGAAAATTTGGGATTGGATTTGGTTGTTGTTTTTGGGGTGATTTGTAGTTGTTGTTGATATGGATATTCTTGCATTTTCTTCAGCTAATGCATCACAAAAGGCTCTGTGTGTGATGAAACTGTCTCTTCTGTATAGGGAGAAAAGAAAATAATGTAGCAGAAGAGGAAAATAAAAAATGTAAGTGTTTGAAGTGA